ACAACATCTTAGCATCGGGACGATCGTGAGAGTTCCCGAAGCCAACACGGACCTCGCACGACAGCACACTCTCCCGCCCCGCCCTCAGTCCCAGGTCCCATCCTCTGCCAATCTCCCCATCCTAACGTTGCCCCCCGAGAGCCCGGAGAATACTTCAGAAGTTGCAGGAAAAAATCGACAACTCTCGTCGTCGTCGTCGTCGTCCTCCTCCTCCTCCTCCTCCACCTGCTCCTCCTATGGATGAGGAGGAGGAGGATGAGGAGGAGGAGGCCGTGGAAGAGGAGGAGGAGGAGGAGGAGGAGGAGGAGGAGGAGGAGGAGGAGGAGGAGAAGGATGAGGAGGAGGAGGATGCCATGGAGGAGGAGGAGAACGACGACGACGAGAGTTCCTCCGTGAGCCTGTACCCCCCCCCTGACATTGCCCCTGACCTCCCACTCCCTGCCTCTCGGGCCATCACTCGGGCCTCTGGCGGCTGGGACGGTCCTTCTCCTCCTGCTCCTGCTCCTCCTATGGAGTGGAAGGATGAGGAAGAGGAGAAGGAGGAGACCGTGGAGAAGGAGGAGGAAGAAAAGGAAGATGAGGAGGAAGAAGAGGAGGAGGATGAGGAGGAAGAGGAGCAGGAAGCCGTGAAGGAGATGGAGGAGGAGGCCCACAAATGTCGTCTCCTTTTCGTCCCGCTCGACGACCCCACCAGCGGCCGTAAGCGGCCCACAATCATCCCCCCCCAGCCCGCCGTCTGCGAGGCTGCCGGGTCCAGGGCGCCGCCTTGCACCAGGAAAGCCGTCCGCGTCACCGTGTCACAGAGAAGGAGGAGGAGGAGGAGGAGGAGGAGGAGGAGGAGGAGGACGAGAGTTCCCCCTCGAGCCTGTCCCCATCCTAACGCCGCCCCCCCAAAAAAGCCCCGCTGCAGGCGTGCCTCGGAGCCCAGCTCCGCCGGTGGCCGCGGCGGCCGGGCCGCCCACGAGTCCAGAAGGGCCAGCTGGGCCCGCAGCGCGGCGGCCCCGGCCTCCTGCGGCTCGGCTCGGCGGCTCGGCTCGGTCCGGGTCGACGACGGCCACGGCAGCGAAGACGGAAACGACGACGGACAACGGCGACAGCGGTCGACGGTCGACGGTCGACGGTCGACGGTCGACGACGACGACGACGACGACGACGACGACGAAGACTACGACGGACGACGGACGACGGTCGACGGAGGACGGACGACGAACGACGGACGACGGACGACGGAAGACGACAACGACGACGGACGACGGACGACGGACGACGGACGACGGACGACGGACGACGACGACGACGACGACGACGACGACGACGACGACGACGACGACGACGGACGACAACGACGACGAACGACGGCCGAACGACGACTGACAACGGTCAAGCACAACGAACGACGCACGACGGACGACGACGGAAGGAGGTCTGGGAGGCCACAGCTGGATTCTGGACGGGCGCCAGCGGGCCCCGCCCCGGCCGAACCGGAGCATGAATTCACCGGCGGTGGCCGGGCTCTCCGCGTCACCGCTCCGCAACGTGCACCCAGGACGCGAGGCGTCGGCCGAGGTGAAAGCCGTGGAAATTCCAGTCACCCTCGCTTCGCCCCGCACGGGGCGGCACGGCCCGCTCCGGGGGCGGACCGCGGCGGAGCGAGGCCTCCTCGGATGGGGGCCCTCTCGCGCGCCCACGAAGCCGACGCCTCGCGCCTGCGCCGCTGGGGCCGAGGAGGCGGGCGGAGGCGATGGGGGGAGATGGCCAAGGATAGCCCCGCCCCGGTCGGGCCCGTCGGGGGGGGCCACGTGCACCCGCTGCTGGGGGGCATGTGCGCGCGCCGAGGAGGGCATTTAAACATGCCCCTTCCTCCTCCTCCCCCCTCCTCCTCCTCCTCCCCCTCCCCCTCCTCCTCCTCCTCCTCCTCCTCCTCCTCCTCCTCCTCCTCCTCCTCCTCCTTGCACTCTCTCCCACCTCTGGCCCGGTACGGGTTCGACCAGCTCCAGCGGGGCAGGAAAGAGGTCTGGGAGGCTGGGGATCACGCGGGCCCCTGCAGGCCACGGCTGCATCCGCCAAGGGCCGCTGCTTCCCCTTTACTCCAATCTTTTATGAATGGTCCCCCGCGTCCAGTTTTTTGAGGCGCCTTTTTTGGTCCAGTTTGTTAGGGCACTTTCTTTGGATTGGAGCTTAAGGGGTCCGGTTTCTTGAGGCGCCCCCGTCGAAGACGGGGGTCCGGAATATTAGGTCGCATTTGGAGGCGGGTCCGGTTTTCAGGGGGGGTCGATTCAGAAGGGACTTGGAGCACTCCCCCCACATCACCACTCCTGCACCAGCCCGGGAGATCACGGAGGAGGCGGGAGGAGGGGAGGAGGGGAGGAGAGGCGGCCGCCAAGAGGGAAGCGGCGCCTTCCGAGGCACCCCACTCCGCCCCGCCGAGGCGGCGCGGCCCGCTCCCAGAGCGGAGCGCGGCGGGGCGGAGGGCGCCTCGGAAGGCGCCAACGCCTCGCTCGCAGCGCTGAGGTGACAGACGCCGACGCCGAAGCCGACGGCGGGTGCCGCAGCTTCTGAGCAGTTGGGCGTGGCCGAATGGGGGTGTCGTAAATGGGGGGGTCAGAAGCGGTCCCCTTTCGTGCCCCTTTCGGGCTCCTCCGGAGCCCCAGGGGCTCGTTTAGGTACCGTTTGGGTACCTTCTCGTACCACCCTCGCCACCCCCCCATTTATGACCCCCCCCATTATGCAACGCCCAAAGCAGGACCGCGTGGCCATCTCTGGCGGCCACTTGCACGCAGGCGAGGTCCCCCGCCACTGCTGGGAGGTCGCACTGGCCACAAGCACATTCCCACCGCAGGCCACGTGTCCAATCCCACATGTTTTCCGGGATTTCGCTCTCAAAGATCTGCTCTCGGGTCCCAGGGCCATCAGAAGCGGTTCCGTGAAACAAACTGTCTCCTGGGAAGGGTTGGTTGGGGAGCACTGGGGCCCAGGGATTGAACGAATCAAGTGGTCTGTTCTCACGACGGAAAAATGTTGGCTGTTTTCGATCCTCCTCCTCCTCCTCTTCCTCCACCCCCTCCTCCCCCTTTTCCATCATCCTTGGGAATACAAAAAGGTACAGATACCGGTACTCCCCGGACCTCTCCAAGGGTGCGTTCTGACCAGGACTTCGAGGCGAATCCAGCGTTGGCGACGAGGGCCGCCCAGGAGGCCGCAAGAGGGAAAAACGGGCGAAGGGTAGCGGTATGGGTACCATCTCCTCCTCTGAATCCTTCTCCTTCATCTTCCTCCTAGTCCGAATGGGGAAAAGGGCGCTGGCCTCCCAGCCCCCCTTCCCCGGAGCGGGGCCCCGCGTCCACCACCGCGGAATCCGCCCGAGCACGCACGGGCGGGCGGCTCCTCGCGCACCAGCCTCGGTCGACGGGAAAGGGGTGACGGATGATGATGATGATCGGGAGGAGGAGGAGGACGAGGGGGAAGAGGAGGAGGAGGATGATGATGATGTGGAGGAGGTGGAGGAAGAGGAGGATGAAGAGGAGGAGGAGGCGGAGGAGGAGGAGAAGGAGGAGGAATACTGGGAGGAGGAGGAGGAGGAGGAGGAGGAGGAGGAGGAGGCGGAGGGGAAGAAGGAGGGGGAGCACGGGCGCGGAGGAGCACGGAGGAGGAGGACGGAGGAGGGAGGAGGAGAAGGCAGGAGAAGGAGGAGACCTCCGCTACGCCTCATTGCGCACTGGTCCAGACCAAAGAACTCTTGTTGGCTGTGGGTCGTAGCGAACGCGTTGCCGTTGTCGGCCGAGAGAGCGGCCCAGCTGGATACCCTCGACGCCACGGCCGGCCGGGCCGCCAGGAAGGCAGGATACCAAGCCCCTCAGGGACAGACCTATGAAGCAGGCGCTTGCCGTGTGAACGAATCTCGGTCCTCTCCTTGACCCAATGCGCACGACTTATTGCGCACTGCTTATTCCTCTGATGAATTCAGGTACTGAATGCTTGTTTTGTGCCCTCTGGTGAGTCTCCGCCGGCAGAAAAAGGAGGAGGGGAGGGAGGGAGGGAGGGAGGGTGGGAGAGAGAGAGGGAGGAGGAGGAGGAGGAGGAAGAGATGGAGGAAGAGGAGGAGGTGGAGGAGGCGGGTGGGGAGGAGGAGGACGATAATGGAATGCGAGCGAATCTCACGAAATGAAAGCTGTCCAACGTGGCAGACGACCCTAAAAACCTTTTGACGATTTTGGAGAGATGCGACGTCCGCAACAATCCCTGTTTATATCAGAACCCAATGTTGCCCCTCATGTTCATATTTGGATACTAGATTGAGTCCTTTGTGTGGCGATCCTGTTGCAGGTACAAGCTTTCGAATTGAATATCTCCCGTCGACTTGGGACCCGCGTTTCTTAAGCAAGCGCCCGACATGGAGTATGCACAGTTCGGTTACACCACCATGTGCACTTCAGATGGGCATAGCGCGGTGTCACGAAAAATGTCGTACATTCGCTGCCTTCACATGCCAACATGCATACATACATACATGCACACATGCAAACATACATACAATATTGCATACACACATACATACATACATACATACCTCCCTACATACCTACCTACCTACATACATACATACACACACATACATACACACATACATCCATCCATCCATCCATCCATCCATCCATCCATCCATCCATCTATCCATCCATCCATCCATCAATACATCCATCCATCCATCCATCCATCCATACATACATACATACATACAAGCATACAAACATACATACATACATACATGCACACATACATACATACATACATACATACACACATACATACACACACATACATACATACATACATACATACATACATACCTACCTACCTACCTACCTACATACATACATACATACATACAAACCTACATACATACATACATACATCCATCCATCCATCCATCCATACATACATACATACATACATACGTACATACATACATGCATGGATGCATGCATGCATGCATGCATGCATGCATGCATGCATACATATATACATACATATATACATCCATAACTCTATACATACATGCATACATACATACATACATGCACACATACATACATACATCCATCCATCCATCCATACATACATACATACATACATACACATACATACATGCGTGCGCACGTAAGTACGCACAAACATGCACACAAACACATACATACACACGCATCTGCATACACATACATGCATACATTCATTCATACATTATAAAAATATCCATGCTCGTCGTTGAAATTGTGCAAGTGTCTGCCCCAACCAGGTATAAATACAGAGCCGTCGGTCGTCACAGCCACCGGTCGTCACAGCCGTCGGCGCCTGCGTCGCTGGCGTGGCGGCAATCTGCTGTCCATCCAGTTGGGCAGCGCATTGTCGTGACACTTGTTTGGCTGTAGCGAGGTAAGGTGGATCCCGTGTGTGTCTGACGATCCGTTCATTTTGGCTCATGAGTCTGCTGGCTGCGTCGCACAGAAAGTCTGGTGTGCTTGCCCATGGGTTGAGGAGAAACTTGGGGTGTGTTTCTTGTGGTGGTGCTGATTGTGTTGGAGGCTTTGGTATTTGTGTTGGTGGAGGTGGCGCGCGCTCGCAGCTGGCGCCGGGTCTTGCTTTGTCTTGTGTTGCTTCTTGTTCTCGAAGGCCAAGCTAAGTATTATTTGGTGCGGTGGCGTCATCTTTGAGCGCCCTGGCTACCCGTGTCGTTCTTTGTCCACGCGTTCGCAATGTCGCTTCTCAAGACCATGAAGTTTTGCGAGCTGCCCTTGTGCGGAGTAATGCTGTGGATGGTCTGCAGGGATGTCGGTGGGGATCCTGAATCCGTCTTCCGTTATTCTGTGCTTCGGTGGTCGGCAGAAGAAGTGGCCCATCGGGGTGGGGTATTTCTAGCGAGGGCTGCGGGCGAATGATGTTGGGGTCGCGCGTGCTGTGCGCGGCGTGCTCGTCGGGGTAAAAGACCTGGACAAGTTCGGGAGAGAGGTGGTGAGCGTGCGTGGCCACGCGGGGTTGTCCGACGTTGGTGCGGTCAGTTCATGATGCGTCGGAGGTGCGGGGCCTTGATGGTGGTCGGGCTTGACACGCGCCGTTCCAGTCCATTGGCATCGTAGGTCACACTCGTAGTCGGATGGGTCTTGTTGCTCGACCGATTATGGTCGTTGATGTGTGGAGGGTGGAGTGTTGTGTCTTCTTTGGTGTTCGATGATGCAAGTAGCACATGGTGGGCGTAGAGTTGATGCCCCGTGTATGTGGACCGCATGCGCAAAGAAGTTGGTAAGGGAGTGCAACTCTAAGCCCTGGGTGACGTTGTGGTTGGTCGACCATGGTGGTGATGAAAGTGGCGTCGTCGCTGCCGGTGAGCTTGATGCGTATGCCGTAATCTTCGTCCAACTGAAACTCGTTCTGCTTGTCGCTTTGCTGGTGATAGATATTGTAGAGCGTCTCCTTGAGGCTCTTTTCTGTACCATCCTCGTTGAAGTAGGCGTACCTGGATTGTGCCATGTTGTTGTCGGTGTCGTTGTCGAATTGGTCCCAGGTGAACTGTACAATAAGCCGCTGACGGACGTCGCGTGGTGGTTCTTCGTTGTCGTCGAATGGTTTCTTGTCCAGTCGGTAGCCAGCCTTCGTGTAGTATGGTATACAGGCTGGCCTGTGTGACCAGTTCGCCTCGGTGTTGGTGTGCGAGGAGTTGTTCTTCCATCCATCAAGTGCTTGCTGGAGTCGTTGCTGTAGTAGTGTAGAGTACTGCCTGCTGATGTCTGGTAGGTCGGCAGTCGTGATGTGCGTCTGCCTCTTGGCGCGCGCCCATCCATTGGCAGTGGGCACTGGTGTGTACGCGTGCACTGGGGTATGTGCGAATATTGCTTGTCGGTTCTAGCGTCGATGGTAATGTCTTGCTTGTTCGGTTCTGGGTCGTGTTCTGTGGATGTCGCCGTGCGTAGTACCTCTTGTATCTGTTCTCTGCTCCACGTTTTGAAAAGACGTGGTAAATCGTCGGTGCCGCCGTCTTCGTATTGCGCTGTGGATTGTCGGTATTGTTGCTCAATGAGTAGATTCCTTTCTTTCGTGCGATCATCGTCTGGCTTTTCCAAACACGCGATGTGGATGGATAGTGAAGCGAGGTACATGAACCTTGTAGCGTTGGGCCACTAGTCGACATGTGCGGCGAACGTGTCGTCCGCCGAAAGCGTATATGGCGCTTGCCGTGGCAGCATGGCGCCTAGTGTAATGAACACTGCGAGCGTTGTAGGAATCGCTTGTTTGAGCCTGGTTGTTACCGTACGCAAGAAAAGGTGAGAACAATCCTGCGCAGGAAACTCCAAACAACGGTCGGTACCGTCGGGACTGTCTGCTGGTGTACATGTTATGCCCCTACCTTTTCCCTCCTCCTCCCCTTCCTCCTCCTCCTCCTCCTACTCCTCCTCCTCCTTCTCCACCCCCTTCTCCTACTCCTCTCAGGGGTGGAGGGGGGGAGAACAGAGAGGCAGAACGGGAAGGCGAAGAGGAACGACGGCGACAACAACCGGCGACGACGCCGCAAGAGACGGCGCCGCCGCCGACGGGGGCGGCGGCGCGGGCCCGGTTGAGCCGTGCACGTCTCTCGCGCTTCCGCGCGGGAGCCCGCCGCGCGAGAGCACGCGGCCGCCTCCTTCAGGGGGGGGGCGGGGAAGGGGCGCGCGCGTCGCCGCCGCCGCCGCCTGCGCCACCGCCGCCGCCGGGAGCGGTCGTCCCCGTCCTTCTCGTCTGGTGCCCTCGGTGCCCTCGGGGGCCCCCGCTCCTCGCCACCGCCGGGCGCGGCTCTCCCCCTTTTTTTTGTTCTCTCTCTCTCTCTCTCTCCTCCACCTCCTCCCCCGTCCGTCTCTCTCGTCCTCCTTCTTCGCTCGACCGCCACGCAGATGAACTCGCCGCGGCCAGAGCACGCCTGCACAACGTACCACGAAGCCTTGTCGACGCAGCGAAATGACGACAAAGATTCGCCGCCGTCCTCCACAGCACGGCCGTCGCGATCGATGACCGGCGTCACCAGGCGCCTCCCTTGCCAGACGGAAGGGCGGGCTACGCCAGGGCAAAGCTCAACAAGACGAAGCCCAATCCTCTCACTATTGGCCAAGGCGGCCACGAGCCACCAGAATCGCAAGGAGGCCCCGCGCATCTCGACGGTCCACCAGACCCGATGAGCCTCGATGGCCTCGATCACATCGATGAGCCGTGGACGAGCCTGCTCGATGACTTCGACGGCGAGGATCAAGACCCGTTCGGGCTAGGCGCCTCCTTGAACGAAGACGATCACGGGCGGGCACAGCGATCACGAATATCACCACGACGCGGGCCAACCAAGACTCTACAACGAAAAGGCCCACGCGTCCCGCGATCAACAGGACCACGCCACCGCAATCAGTCCCCTCATCACCAGGTCACTGTCCCTCGCCCCCAGGGTACGAGGAGCAGTGAACCGCCTGTCTGTCGACGGAACAGGCCCAGGGGAATGGGGACCTGGCGAACGGACCGAAGACAATCCCTTACGCAGCACCTTACAGCTGCCAGGCGACAGCCAGAGGGCCATCACGAGACGGTCCTCATCGCTAACATCAATGCGCTGCAACAACGGGCAAATGACCAATCCCAATCTCTTCAGACAATCCGGAAACAGACTGTCCCGTGGCTCGACAGGTTTGATCGAACACAAACTGCCTTGCACGGCCTTCAGCAGGCTTTCCGCCCTGCCATTTCTCTTGGGGCGTCCCTCCAAGAAAGCCTCCAAACATCCCGTTCTGCCCAACGCGAGGCTCACCGATGCCATCGCCCCTTCTCCCAGCGGGTTCCGTGAACAACTGGCACCTGTTCCGTTGCCCCCTTTCATGGGCCGCCGCGGAAGATGCCCCACGGTGGCGCCGCCACTGCCGCGGGTGCCGCATCACGCAGGCCGCAGCGCGCGTGTGCAGCCGGGGCCTCTCTGCCCACGGGGGGCGCAGGAGGGGGCGAGCCTCGCCCCTACCACTACGCCCTGCTCTTGTTCTACAGTCGGGCCCCGCCCCTGCTTCCCGCCCCTGCTTCCGCGCGCCCTTCCCCCCCCCCCGCCACCAGAGGTGGGCGCGGCGGGCGCTCGTGCCCCGACGACGCCCGGAAGGACACCTCCGCCCGAGCCACTGCGCTCGCCGCCCTCCTCCCCTCCCCCCCCCTCCAGTCTCTCGTCCTCCCTCCTCCGTGTCCCTTTGTCTCCCTCCTCCCTCCTCCCTTCTCCCTCCTCCCTCCTCCCTCCTTGTTCCCCCTCCTCCCTTCTCCCTTCGCCGCCTCCTCGAGAGGATGTGCCCCGCCTGGCCCCCCCCCAAGTCCCCGCCCCACCCCTTCTGCGAAAGGCCCTGCCCAGGGCTTGCGTCCGCGCTGGCAGAAGCCGGGAAGCGACCTGGGAGCCCGAAGACGTGTGAAAAGCCTGCGCGGCGCCTTCCCTTCGAGCCAACTGTTGTTCTCGTGGCGACTCTGCAAGGTCGCCTCCGGACCTTTCCCTGGGGTGCGCCCCGGCCATGACTTCAAAGCGCATCCGGCCAGAGCGCCGCGCACTCCTCCCGGAAGACCAAGTTCGAAGGGGGAGAGGTGTCGGGGGGGGGGGGACAGCCCGCATGGCCCTGAGCCTCGAGCCTCCAGGACCCCCGGGCCTGCCTGCGGAAGCCTCCTGGCCAGAACCTCGGGGGGAAGCCGGCCATGGCGGCGAGAAGCCCCTGCAGGCCCCTCAAGTGAGAGCCACCGAAGCAACCAGAGCACCAGGCATCCTCACGATGCCTCGAACCCGCGCGCCAAGCCGGGTCAGCCGAGGCCACGTCGCGAGCCCGGGCCGGCCAGGCAGTGGCTCCCGCATCCCAGGACGGCCGCGGCAGGGAGGGGAGGGGTGTGGCCTCCACGCGGCTCCCGAAGCCAGGACCAGCCACTGGGGAGCAAGAGGGGGCTGTCCAACCCCCGCTCCAGGACAGCTGCTTCCGGTGTGTTTCCATACGTCGTGCCAGCAGTCCTGATCCTTTCCCCAGGGCCAGCTTCTCATGCCCAGCCGCTCCCGCTGCGACCCCGGAGCCTGGGAATGGCCTTGGGGGGCGGGCGCGGCGAAACGATACGAATCAAACAAAACATCCTCTCAAAACGTCGAAGGCCTGGGTTTGCGCTGAGACCCACGTTGGCGTCTCCGAGGCTCTGGGCTCCCTTCTGCTATTTTTGTTCTGCCGTTGCCCCTCGCACCCCCCCGTCCTTTCAGAGTCACCCCCCTGGCAATGTTTAAAGACCTAGGGAGGTCGAAACAATCAGGGTACATGTGGGGTCGGAGGGTCGCACGGCGACGAGGATGCATCGGTGATGCACCTGCGACGTCGGGATGGAGAACGTAGGGCTCTGGGTCGCGCCGAGTCGCCGATGCTTCGGCGCTGCGGCGCGATCCTCCGACGCAGCGCGGCCCCATTTCGGGAGGACCTTGACGACCTCCTCGGGTCGAGGCGAGGCCATTTTATCTCGCGGCGGCCTCGAACCTCGAACCCGCCAGACCCCAAAGGCCGCCGTGTTCTTGTCTTGTGACGTTGACCCCCAGAGGTCTGGGCCCCTCCCCTGGGACTGGCTTTTCGTCCTGAGTCGCTATTCTCTTGCACTGCTGTGCTCTAGAGCTCGGATCACATTATTTTCGTCGACGTTTGTGCGTTCGTCGTTTGTCCTGCACCCTCGCCCCCGGCCACAGAAGAAAACTCCTGGAGCAAAAAGGAGCGGAAGCCTCCTGTCACATTTTCTTGATTTTTGTATTCCCCCCTGCTTCCCATATTTTCGCATATTTCCTGGGAATCGACGATGAATTGTGTATGTGTGTGTTTTCCCCTCCTGAACAACGGGAAGAAGCAAGGGTTTCACAACCGCTACACCCCGGACCTCTCCCGGGAGTGCGCTCGGACCACAACTTCAGGGCGAACCCAGCCGTGGCGACGAGCGCCTCCCGGGATGCCCAGGGAGGCAGAAACGAAAGATGGGTAGCCGGTATCGGTACACTTTCAAGGGGCCCCAGGACACACAAAGAAGTACACACAAACAAAAGGATTCCCCTATATGTTTCCATATATGTTGTTGGTTGTCGTCTTCCCCCTCCACTTCCCACATTTTCCCATCTGTTCTGGGAATCGGCGATTCATGGTGTCTGCGTGTTTTTCCCTCCTGGGCACTCTGCTGCTCCGAATTCGGCAAGTCTGGGCGACGAGGGCGCAATCGCCGACTCTCCGAGCTCCGCGCGCAGTTCCGGGATCGGCGCCGGACCCCAGGGCGCCGCCAGGGGCGGCGCCGCCAGGGGGGCCCCGCGCCCATCCAAGAGAAATCCGCGCGGGCCTCCGAAGACCACGCAGATGTTTACGAAGATGTGTCGCTCCGATCCGCGGCGGCGGCAGCCCTAAAGCGGGGCTGCCGGGCTGAGCGGGGCCGCGCCGGGCGCGGGCGCCCCCCGCGGGCTTCTCCCTTCCCCCCTCCCCCTCACTCCCCCCCTGCGCCGCCTCCGTCGTTCGTCTGTCGCCCGTCGTTCTTCTGTCGTGTCGTCCGCCACTGGGCTCCGCCATCGCTGATAAAAAGTGTCGCTCTTCCAGCTCGACTGGCCTGCTCGGGTCGAGAGCAGGGTAGACTGACAATCTCAAAGCAATTGCAGCTGAAATCGCAATCGGTCTTTCCGTCACGCAAAGAATTTTTGGAGTCCCGAAATGGTGCGGTGACAGACCGTGCGGTGACCTCGGAACCCCAAGAGACCTCACCGCACGGTCCGTCACCGCACGGTCTTGGGACCCTGGAGGCCCCTGTCGCCCGAGACATCCTCGGACAAGAACTCGAGTCCCAAAACCGTGCGGTAACCCCGAATCCCGACTGACTCACAGCACGGTGTGGTCACCACACCGTTTGGGGGCCCCCGAGAATTGGTTCACCCCTCACCCGGAGGTGCTGGCTTCACGCCAAGCTGCTGCAGCAACGAGACGATCGATGAGACCTGCACGGGGCGCGGCCGGAGAAGGGCAACCCAGAGGCTGCCAGAATCTTAAAATAAGGTCTAAGTCGGGCCTGTTCCACTACAGGGGGATTTTCGACGAAAAATAGAAATACCCCCAAAATGCCCCCAAAAAGGTCAAACAATATTCAAAACATAATCCCAAAACAATGTTTGGACAATGTTTTGACTATGTTTGGGTATTTTGCATTTTTTGTCAAAAATCCCCCTGTATGGGGGACAGGCCTGACTTAAAATAAGGTCTGGCATGTAATATTTGACATTCGAACATGGCTGGTTTGTGGACATACGGACCTCTTATAACTTCATGACTATCCTATCCGGTCAACCAGGTGAGACATCAATCCTGCCGCGCCCTGCAGTCTGCGCTCGCCAGGAAGGGCCCCGCCGCCGCGCCGATCCAGGATGTCCGCGCGGACCTCCGCCCCGCCGATCCGAGGAATCCGCCCCGCCGACCCAAGGAATCCGCCGCGCCGATCCAGGATGTCCGCGCGGACCTCCGCCCCTCCGACCCGAATAATCCGCCCCGCCGATCCGAGAGATCCAGCCTGTGCCGTCTTGCAGTAGGGGCTCGCCTACAAGGAACCTTCCACCAGATATCCGACCCTGAGACCCCAGGACGTCCATGGAGTCCTGGCGTGCGAAAGTCACGCGTTCCATGGTAAAACCATCGAAATCCAAGAAACCCAGGGCACCCTGGAGGCGAGCAGGGTGCTTCTTGGCATGGGCCCCCACTTTATCCTTCTTCCCGAGGGGCCCCGCCGCCGCGCCTCCTCGGGGGCCCAAAGGAGGCCAAGACGAGGGAAGGGCAGCGCTGTCCGTGCCTCGCCTGCTCCTCTGGCGAGGAGGAGGAGGAAGAGGAGGAGGAGGAGGAGGACGAGGAGGGGAAGGAGAAGGAGGAGGAGGAGGAGGAGGAGGAGGAGGAGCCCCCAGGAGGCGACCTCGATGTGTGGGCGGCGCATCGGGCACCACGCTAGGGGAACTGGAATCCGCCAAGACGTCGCTTGCGGCGCCGCGGCCCAGGGGCGTTGGTGCCCTGGCGGGCCTGGGGCGGCCCCCCGACTCCACGGGGTTGTCCCCGTGCGGAGTCGGTCTGCAGTCTCAGGTCCCCCGGGGACCCGGCGTTCTGGGGCCGCGTGGGTAACCCCCCAGGGCTGGCGCGGACTGGTTATCCAGGCTGCGTCGGCCTGCGTGGTACCAGCCTGTGCGGGGGCTGGCTCTGGCCACTGTTGGGGCCCGCCCCTGACGTCGGGGTGTCGGGTGTGGCCAGGGGGGTCGACTCTCGTGGAGAGTACGGCTCAAAACGTGGACCCCCTGGCCCCCCTTGGGCAAGGGGGCCTGTGGGGGCGGGCCAGGTTGCCCATGCACGGTAACACGCGCCGTGTGCCCCGCACGGTGACGTGGGGTAACCTGTGTCCCCTGGTGCAGGAAGAACCAGGGAGGCATGGGGGCCGCCCGCAATCGGCGGGCTGGTGGAGCTCCTGGAGCTCCACGCGGTGAGCCTGGCGCCTCTTCTTGTCCGTCTCTTGTATCTGCTTCCTTTTTCTCTCCCGGGCCCCGCCAGAAGTGTGCGGCCCCTCGCTCCAGGGGGTCGCGGGGCGGCGGCTCTCGTGGGGACCTCGGGAGCGCTTGGTGAGTGCGCAGGAGGAGGAGGAGGAGGAGGAGGAGGAGGAGGAGGAGGAGGAGGAGGAGGAGGAGGAGGAGGAGGAGGAGTCGACGACGACCTGGCCAGGGCGCGGCAACCCCTCCGAGGACTCCGCGCGGGGAGCCTCCCCCTCGCGAGGGCGTGCCCGAGCTCGGGCTCTGGCGCACGGCCGCGGCCCGCAGGCGCGCGAGGAGCCGCGTCGCCTGGCCCTCTCTGCTGGGCGCGCGCCCGCTCCGACGACCTGCTCGGGCCGAGGCCCTGCAGCCGAAGCTCGGCAGAGGGCCCCGCCGCCGCCGCGCGGTCCTCGGCGGCGGCCTCCTCGCGCAGCAGCTCGGCCTCGGCGGCGCGCGCCTGGCGGGTTGGCGCGGCGGCGCCGCGAGGGAAGGCGGCGCCCCTCTGCCCGCCCGCTCTCGCCCCGCCTCCGCGGCGCTCGGGGAGCGCGGCGTGGCTCCGCTCCGCCCTCTGCCGCAGCCATGGCTGGCGACTTCCGGATGAGGAGCCGAAGCGACGCGAACGCCGCCGCCGCCGCCGCCGCCCGCCCGCCCGCCTGCCTCTCGTGCCCCCCCGCTCGTGCCCGTGCGCGTGCCCCCCCGCTCGTGCCCCTCCCCCTTCCTCCTCCTCCTCCTCCTCCTCCTCCTCCTCTTCCTCCTCCTCCACTCCTTTTCCTTATAAATAGCTTCTCCCTGTCGCTCCCCGGGGCCAGTTTTTAGTGCGGGCCGGGCGTTTCGCCTGAGACTTCCCAACCTCTTCTGTATTTGAAGCTTAAACAACTGGCAACAGTTTCACACATGGAGGGCGGGTCGTTTAAAAAATGTGGCTCTCGCCTGAGCGTGGCACACATTCGTTTTTCAGAATTTGCAAGAGTTTCACGGATTGAGGGCGGGTAGTTTTCAAAATGTGGCTCTTGCCTTAGCACGGCGCACATTCGCTCAAACAAGTTGCAAGAGTTTCACGGGTTGAGGGCGAGTCGTTTTCAAACTTTGGCCCTCGCCTTAGCGCGACGCACATTCTTGTTTCAAAATTTGCCAGATCTTCACGGGTTAAGGGCGATTATTTTCAACATGTGCCTCTCGCCTAAGCGCCGCGCGCTTTTGGCTTAAACTTTTGCAAGAGTTTCACGGGTTCCCATGCACAACGGACAAGGACTATGCGTGCGCAACAGTTACGTTGATTCTCTGTGTTGAAGTCCTAGGAATTGCGTTCTGGTGCGATTCAGGATTATCAAGAAGCAACAGGTAGGTTGACCCGTGGCGTTGGAAACCCGAGAACAATGTGTTGGCATGCTTCAGGGTCTTCAAATGGCATCAATGGACATGAACCGTTGTAGGGGCCTATGAAGACGGAGCTGAGAGGATGGGTTTACTCCAACATCGTTGATGACTCTTGGGTTTACACTGGTCCTCCTCCTCCTCCTCCTCCTCCTCCTCCTGCTCCTCCTCCTTCTCCTCCTCCTCCTCCTCCTCCTCCCCTTCCGCCTCCTCCTCCGCCTCCTCCTCCGCCGCCTCCGCCTCCACCTAGGCCTCCGCCTCCTCCTCCAACTCCGCCTCCGCCTCCTCCTCCTCCTTCTCCTCCTCCTCCTCCTCCTCCTCCTCCTCCTCCTCCTCCTCCTCCTCCTCCTCCTCCCCACTGGAGGTGTGGCGTACACGGCTCGGAAAAGAGTGAAGGCCGGAGTGCATCCCCGCACCCCACCGACCAGGAAGGCACCCACGGGGAAGCGGCGACCCCCTCGATCGCCAAAACGTGCGCGGTGGAGCGCGCCTCTCGGTGTGGCCACGGATGGAGAGTCAGCTGTCCCCGGAAAGCTGCCTCCTTTTCCGCGCGTCAGCGCCCGTGCCTGGTGCCGGGCATCGATGCCATTCTGCTTGCTTTTGGCCGCGGGCGCCGTGCGGAAGCGGAGACTCGGGGCCTGCGCGCAGTGGATTGACAGGACACCCTTCAGCATCACGCCCTCTCGAGCAAGCTGCCGGGGGCAATCCACGAGCGCTCGGCAGGCACCGCATTCCGAGTGCACCCCGGCGGGGCAGCACACCGAGGCCTCACAACGGCCGAACGCATCAAGGGAAGCCCGTGCCGACCGGCGAGAGCAGCTGGGGACTGCACCGGCCAGCTCGAGCGCCAATGCTGAGAGCGCCCCCGTGCAGATCTGGGCGCTCTCCAGGCAAGACCACCATCGTGTCGGGAGGCAGGGGCCGAGAAGGTGCAGGGCACGACTGGATCATAAACACCTTCACCAGACTCCCACCCCCGACCCTTGCTCCCCGGACCTCTCCGGGGGTGCGTTCTGACCAGGATCTCGAGGCGCATCCAGCGGTGGCGACGAGGCCCGAAAAGGGGAAAACGAGGCCAAGGTGGAGGTACGGGTACCTTTCTCTCCTCATTTTTTCTGCAGGACCTGCATACGGAAACACCTCCCCTACGGGTTTGCGGCGCCCCAAGAAACTGACATGCTGCGCGGCGAACACATCGTAGCGTTGCATCTAGTCACGCTCTGCCTAATGACAATGGCTACGAAAAGCTGGTGCTGCTTGCATACATCCTCCACACTCTGACGATTGTCTTTCTCCTCTGACGACTGTCTCTCTTTTCTTCCTCCTCTTTGGAGGGGGCACCTTCTCCTCCTCTTTGGAGGGGGTACCTTCTCCTCCTCTGACGATTGTCTCTCTGATCTTCTCCACAACCGCGGGAGGCTCGCTCGGTCGGACCGGCGGCGGCGGCGCGACCGCGCGACCGCGCCTTTGGCAGCCTCGCCGCCAGGAGGAGGAGGAGGAGGAGGAGGAGGAGGAGGAGGAGGAGGAGGAGGAGGAGGTGGAGGAGGAGGAGGAGGGAGAGGGGGAGGAGGGACGATTGTCTCTCTGATTTCCTCCACGCCCGCGGGATGCCCGCTCGGTCGGACTCGCTCGCTCGCGGCGCGGCCGCGCGAAACCGCGCCTCCGGCAGCCTCGCCGCCAGGCCCTCGCGGCTGGCCTGGCAGGCGGCGGCCTCGCGCGCCAGCGCGCGGTGGCGGTCCTTCTCCGCGGTCGCGGGCCGCGGCCCGAAAGGCGACGACGGCGACGAGGCGACGACGACGACGACGACGACGACGGCGACGACGACGACAACGACGACGACGACGACACGACGACTACGACGACAACGACGACGGAGACGACGACGACGACGACGACGACGACGACGACGACGACGACGACGCCGACGGAGACGACGACGACGCGTGGTCGCGGTCCTTCGATGCGCACGCGGCACGCGGCTCGAAAGGGTGGCGTCGACGGCGACGGCTAATTACGGACGGCAACGGCGGCGACGACCCCAAATCTGGGACGATGTGTGCTCTTTGTTCCGCCCGGGCGTTTTCTCCCCAATCTCATCCCCATGGGGCCCGTCGTCGAGCCCCGGGACCTTCAAAAAGGGGGCCACGGCCAAACGCTGACCTCCGAGGGAGGGGTCGGGATCTCTGGGAGGGCTGCGCTAGCGGCTCTCGCAGCTCGAAAAAGCACGGCGTCGTCATCGACGGCGGCGGCCACAGCTACCCGCCGCCAACGGCGGCGGCGACGGAACTACTCAGAGGGTGAAACGACAGCGATGCCGCTGCTTTTCCTGGGGCGTTCTCGTCGCAGCGTCTGGATTCTCCCCGACATCTGGTCTGGGTGCCCCCCGGGAAGGTCTGGGGAGCATCGGCATCGGTGTCTCCTTGTTCCTCCAGAGGACGACGACGAAGACGACGACGAGGGACGGGGCGGCAGACGTCGCCGTCGTTGTCGTCGTCATCGTCGAGGTCCTGCTGCGCTCGCGGATCGAGGCCACGGGCACCCGCCAGCGACGTCGTCGACGTCGTCGTCGAGGGAGGTTGAGGTCCCAACACTCCGAGGGACTGAATCGTTTTGTCCTGCAGTCTTCTTGGTGGGCTGCGTTCGGGCCCTTGGGGCACCAAGCGCTGAATCATGACCCTTGGGAAAGAACAGTCGGGAGCTCTGGGGCCTCTCTTGGGCCGTGGATTGACAAATCGCAGCCTTATCGGATGTCTGGGATCGTCGTCGACGTCGTCGTCGCCCTCGTCGTCGGAGAGGATCCAAGGTCGAAGCTGCTGAACATTCCTGGCCCGGTTGGGGCTCGAGGAGGGTGGAGGCCTCTGGGGGCCTCTAGCAACTTCAAAGGGCCCCTGGATCTCGAAGCCTCCGGGCGCCCCTGGAAGCTATCTCCCCGCCACAGCGAGGCGCGCGGCGAGGAGAGGCCCTCCGGGGTGGACCCCGAGAGGGGGCCCAAGGACCACTCTAGGCGGGTCCTGCTCTTCCTCCTCCTCCTCCCCTTTATCCTCCTCTTCCTCCTCCTCCTCCTCCTCCTCCTCCTTGATCCTTGATTATTCATGGAAGCGCGGCCGACCACACCCCTCCGATGTCCGTCCACCACTACCGCCCCTCGACGGCCCGATGCGCCTGATGCGCACCGACACCGTGCGCGGCGAGACGAGCACAGAACCAACCGAACTCAGAACACAACGAAACCATATCCGATATCCAGCCAACCACAATGCAGAATAAGCCACCCATTTCAACAAAGCAAGAGCCAGCTGCACTGCCCGAGCGACAAAAGCACGCCGAGACATCCCACTGCAGCTAAATGGAGCTGCCGACCACCAGACAATAGGAAGCGCCAACACCGCAATACAACTTAGCCCACGGGGAGTCCGTCACCATGCGTATAGAAGAGCCGGCGAATGCTTTGGATCTGCGTCTTCCGGCCTTCCTTCGACACGGCAAACCCCGCCGCACCTTCTCTGAAGGTTGAGAGATGTGCCCTCGAACTTTGCCGAGTAGCCAGCACACTTAGCACATATCACCGCGCGTTGTCCGACCCCGCAATCTCGTGCCCGAGCATTCGGAAAGACTTGCCCACCGCCTTCATATGATCAACCTCGCTGTCGTCCGACCTGCTTGCTACCCCTCCGCGTAGGCGCCCAGAACCATGCCAGCTGCTTCCGGCGTAGCCTGGACGGCAGCAGGTCTATAACTCTGGAACTGCCTGCCCTCGACGGCGTTGTAGTGTGCTTCCATGCGAACGTGCTCCGTTGACGTCGGAACACCATGACTGCAAGCGCCCCATCTCAAGTTAACCAAGTGCGCCTGCGTCTTGGCCAATACACTACAGTTGCGGCAACTCCAACGTTGCAGGCCCTCGTGGTTATAGAGCCCGTGCTCCCATATCGCAAGGTGTTGGCATTTCTCCGTCACCGCCGTCTGCGCTCGTTCGCTTTTCCATCGCAGCTGCTGGCAAGGCCAAGTCATGCCCCAGCTAAGACACCTGACCACCGCGCGGCCCTCGTCAAACGCGTGCTGGACCTGCCCAACGCAGCTCTTTGCAATGGTGACCTCCTCCGCGCCTGACTTAGCGACGTAACCCGCCCATCCGATGCGGAGAACCCACGTGGCGTCGAAGCCTGGAGTTCCCTGTGCTTGAACCACTTCGCTAGAACTCCAGATGAGATGGGCGTCACTTGAACTGCTGAAAGAACGCCTCGCGCTTGCGGACTCGGCTGTGGATCTCGCGCCCATGCTCCAGCATGCATGGCTTCTGATACCTCGTCGGCGTCGCTCCAGCAGCTGCCTACTTTGGCTGGCGATTGCAGGCTAGCGCTAACCATGCCACCCGCGCTGTAGCAAAATACCGCTTGCAACCCCGCATATCGTTCAGCCAGCCCAATAGTTTGCCGCTGCCCTGGCCGCCCGCCACAGGTAGCACACTGGCTGCAACCGCCAAGAACCCCGCGAGATGAAACAAAAACTATCTGACCACGCCGCCACGCCGCATACGCACGTACACTCCTCGGCCTCACGTGATACTGCAGGCCCATCCAAACACATCTAGCTTGATACTTCATCCCCACTGCTTGCTGCATCAACGACTGCATCGTCAAACCCCCGCGCGTCCGACAGCGCCGTAAGCGAGTGCTGGCGAGGAGGCGCCACCACCTCCGCTGTGCGACTGTGTCGGAGCGCAGAGGCCCTCGTCGATCGACCTGCCCCCCCCTGCCCCCTTGCTCGAGCCACTGCCGCGACATAACACTGCGATCCATCGGCCGAACCCCAGCGACTGACTGCGCCAATCCCAGCAAACAGCTTCCGCCGACTGGCTTGGGCAAACGTACCAGGGCACCGAGAATCCCACCATTGGGCCAGGAACTGGGGAGCCCACCTCTGGAAAATCGCATGTTGCGCACCTCCAACCCAACATCGGGCACCTGGCAGAACGCCGCAGGCGCGATCCCAATCTGCCCCGTTGCCTTACGCAATGGATCTTTGAGCGTCACCTGCCTCAGGAAAACAAATGAGATGTCGAGTGACCGACCCCATGCAAGAAGTAGCTGGCAGCTTCAGCTTCGAGCAACCGCGATCGCGCATTTCCACTTCGCGAACTCACGATCCACCATATTGCGCGGCTCTGCTTGGAACGCGGCATTATAGACCTCCGTCTTGACAGGTACCTTCACGAACTGATGAGCAGCGCCTGATCCACCTAGCCAGCTCTTGACTGCCCAACGTCTCGAACTGTTCATCCTGCCAGGCATAGCCTGAACATCCCGCTTCCTGCCGTACTTGACGATGCTGCCAGCGACCCCATTTCGCACCAGCCCACGACCAAATCAATGGTCCATCCTTGAAACATCCGAAACGTTACCTGGCCGACTTGCTTCAGAACCCCCTTGCTGTTCCCAACATGTTTGAGACATTGCGTCGCCTCCTTGTTCAGCTCAATAAAATGCCCGCCTTGCTCCGTTGAGGCCAGGCTGAACTTCGCCGCCGGGCGGAGAAGCCCGCGGCGCGTCCCGAGACTGAGCCGCCGCGCCCGCAAGTGATCGCACCAGCAACCAGCCGCCATCCGCGCGCGAGCCGCCTCGGCGATTCTCGCCCTCTTGCGCGGCGGCTTCCACGCCAGTTTCTTCCGCGGGAAACGCCCGGGCCCAGCCCGTCCAATATGCTTTTGTCGAACCTTGCTTGCCTTTGGGGCCCCGACGGTCTGCCAACTCAGCTTGTCGCGTCTTGCCTCCAGTCGCGACCTGAGCTGTGCTTCTGTCGCCACGAAACCGACCTCCGGGTGTAACCGACAACTCTGGAAACTTCCGCGCTCATTTCAGCGACCCTGTCGGGTTCGGGCTGCCCTGGCCATGCCGCAACCGCCGACGACAGCAAACCTCAGGCATGCGATCTCGAAGCGAGCCCACAATCACACCCGCAATGCTGTCCAAATAGCGCCAGTGTTGAGCTGTCATAACCGCGCATTCATCTTCGTCGCAATGCCGCAGAAAACTGCGCATGTTCTGCCGATGCCCGCGCGCCCCGCGCCAAGCACCAGCGCAAATCTCTGCGAGCAGCTCGGAGCCGAAAGGCACATTGTAAACAGCTTCCAACCTTATGATAAGCTCTTTGTGTCCAGGGTGCGCGAAGTAAGTCTTGCATATAAGCCGTTCACCTGTCGCGCCATACTTCGGGATCTTGAAACTGGTCGCCTCGAAGGCCCCATGCCCAATGATGAGCATAACCCGTGACAAAGTCTGCGAACTGCACTTCGGCAATGACCTGGCTGGCAAATTGCACATTGCCTCCTTAGCCAGTTCCATCTGAACCCTCGAGCACCCTGGACCCCGGCATGGCGAGCTCCAAGATTCCTCTTCAGACCTATACCTGGACGGCCCCCAAGAGGGGCGCTTGGTCGACCCTCCCGTTGCCCGCGGGCTGTTTTGGAGGCCCCGACCCCTGGCCAGGTGTTTAGCTAGCGGAACGCCCCTACTTACCAACTCCCGGGACGGGCGCCAGGGCGCGGCGGCGCGCCCGCTAGGCGAAACCTTCTTCGATGCGAGATTCTGCCAAGCCGCGCTTCCAGCGGGCGCCGCAATGCCACCCAGAAACGGAGGATTATCAGCCTGCCCTTGCCCTGCATGTAGTAGGTGCCCATCGCGTTCACGTAATAGCTGATCCGCCGTCATTGCCAATCAAGAATGACAGATCACACCCGACCAGCCCATGAGCATCAGCAAACCAAACAAAATGCTAGAACGGATCGAATCCCTACTCAGGCTGCTCCTGCCTCCACGCGAAATTCTTATTTGCCACATGACGTATGTCGTCTTTGTCCATGTCGTCAGCCGTGAAGCCGATGCGATCAAGATGCCCTATGAGAACAGCGACAGCAGCAGCCTGCGCAGAAACAGTAGCTGGCGGCGCCGAGGGGCACGCCGCATCGCCTTCCCCTGCCCCTGCTCCAGCTGCAGCACCAGGTCATGACTTCTGCTCCGCACCTGCCGCCGCTGCCGCTGGAACGAGGGCGCTGGTGAGCTGCCCGTCCTGCTTGATCTTGCCAGCCACACCCTCGCGACTGTAACCCCAGGCCGCGCCGTTGCTGACTGCGCCAGCCCTGATTCATCAGGCGGCACCACAGCTGAACGGAACGCCAGTTCTTTGCGGTGTTGCTCCAACGCCAACAACTACTGACGCATCTCTGCGATCTTGGTCTCGTCCTGCTCCACCAACTCGGGCAACCTGGCGGCTTCAACCTCCCGCTTGTCCAGGGCATGTGTAGCTTTATCAATATGTTCTTCCAGATTGGCGCACTTGCGGGACAGGTCGGAGATCTGCGCGCCCATGCGTTTGCATGCACGACGCTTGGCGCAGAGTTCTTCTTGCAGCTTGAGCGGCCCCTCCCGAACAGGTGCCAACTCAGGTACGTGCACAACCAGGGCCTGCGGACACTTCTTGGGCTTACCCTCATCATCGTCGATCTTGCGCTGTAGGCCAGACGGTGGCCCCAGCGTCCCAGCACCATCTTCGTCTATGGCTTCGGCGTCGGGTCCAACAGATTTCTTTGCAGCGGGCTCACCTCGAATACGCTGTAGCTCCTGTTTCCATGTCGGCCATATGCTTGGTCTGGTCCCGTCGCTTCCCCCAAGGTGATCCACCGCGTTCAGGTCAGAGTGAGGGCGATGTAGCTGCACGACTGGAACGCAATGCAAGTGATAACCAAAGATAAGGTAGCGAGTGCCCCTCTTCGGCCCCCAACTGTACACACGATCTCTGCATTACCAGTCCTCCCTTCTCTCTCGCGATCCCTGCTGCTTGCCCGGGAGAGAGCCATCTCGTTGGTTCGCCGCTGCAGCCAGACTGATCACCCAGCAGACCGATCGAGTAATGCACGGGCGCCGTAGCGCAACAACGAATACCCTCGAACCAACCAAATACGGTATGGAAAGTGGTGGGGCCGCGACCCCCCTCGCCAACAAGACACAGTCCCCGAGACGAAACACTACGGACTTGAGCCAAAATGGCCACGGACTCCTCCTCCTCCTCCTCCTCCTCCTCATCCTCCTCCTCCTCCTCCTCCTCCTCCTCC